TGCCTTTTTCACAGTGATCTCCAGATACTGCTTTTGCTTACACTAACTTCAGAGAAATTTTGTTTGAAATCTCAAAAGTAATAAAGATGCTCCATTTCCTATTACGGATAAAATACTAAAAATTGTTGGTATGGCCTATCAGAGGCCCCACAGACATTTTATTTGGTGCAGTGAATCAGGAAAAAGTCAGCAAAGACAAGAAAGTTGACTACATCATGTGGGAGTTTGGCCTGGATGACTTCCCATGATTATAGGACCAAAATACATGACAGAGTTCAGCAGGGATGCTGGGTCAGATTGTCCCTTGCTCCACACAGGTCTGTGCCCAGAGTAGAGGGGAAAATCACCACACACAGCTGGCAAGATAAGTGCAGGGTTGTATAACATTCTGGAAGCCCTTATGGTATACTAGAATACCCTGCCACACAGCCCACTGGCCTGCCCTTAGAGATCAGCCAGCTCAAAAGGGACAGCAGAGCTGTAGGCATTGCCTCCACTTTGGGGACATACAGAGCAACCCTGGGTGCAGGCTCCTTGATGGTACCCTAGGAGGTCTGCTCTAATGAGGGCCTCTGAAAAGATAAGTGGGTTCTGAGGCATTTATGAGATTCTAGGCTCCAAGGTGGGGTTAGTCCCTAGGTGGTGCAAACAGTTAACACGCTAGGCTGCTAACCAAAAGATTGGAGGTTTGAGTCTACCCAGAGGCACCTCGAAAGAAAGTTCTGGTGACCTACTTCTGAAAAATCAGCCACTGAAAACCCGATGGAGCACAGTTCTACTCTGACACACATCGGGTCGCCATGAGTTGGAATTGACTCAACTTCATGACAACTGGTACTGGTTGTCTCCAAGGGAGATCAAACATCTATTACGTACTGTGTACTACGCTATGTCCTTTCTAATGATTTTATAATTCAATCTTCACAACACTCCTGCAAGTTGTCCCCATTTTACAGTTGAGAAAACTGAGGCTCAAAGAGGGCAAGTAACTTGCCTAGAGTACTAACAGTATTAGAATTTGAGCCTGGGTCTTCCAGACTTCAAAGGACATGTACTTGTACTTTAATCAAAGCCACGCAGTTCCCCTTCACCCAAAATGTATTAACCTTTGGCTTCCAAGGGATCCCACTCTCACCTTGTCTTCCTACTGGTCCTGCAAACAAGACATCCCGGATCCTGCCCCTCCCCATATACA